TTGTCCTGGTTCTTATTGCAGGATAAGTGGGGATTCATCTTTTGGCGCCACTCTCCTTCTTCTTCTTCTTCTTCTTCTTCTTCTTCTTCTTCTTCTTCTTAACTTCAGATTTTTCCCCTGCCTTCAAACCTTGCTTCACATCACCTCCAACACGAGGAGCACAAGAGGGGTTTTCCATGGAAGGCTTACTTCTACTAACAATAACACCCTTCAGATATATTCCATCCACATTATCAAATTTATCATTTGATGAATCAAAAAGGTGATGCTCTGCTCACCATCTCTCAAAATCAATGTTACCTCATTCACATCAATTAATGCCTTAACGGTGACTAGGAAATGTCTTCATAGTATGAGGGGCACTTCGGTATCCTCACAAATATCCAGAATCACAAAATTCGTTGGATAGTAAAACATGCCGACTCAAACTAGGACATCCTGCCTTATAATTGTAGGACAAATCACAGAACGGACATCCAATGTAATACTCAACCTAGTGCATTTCAGTTCATCTAGGTCTAACTTCTTGTAAATATTGTATGACATGACGTTAGTGCTAGCTCCTAAATCCACCAAGAATTTTTCTATGTGACATGTTCCAGTTTAAATGGGTATAGTAAAGCTACCAGGATCCTGTTTCTTTTGAGTCAATTTATTCTGGATGATGGCCTAGCACTCCTCATTTAGAGTGACTAAGGCGATGTATTTGAATTTCCGCTTCTTCGAGAGAAGACTCTTAAGAAACTTTGCATACCTCGACATTTGTGCCATCACTTCCAAAAAAAGGAACCGAGACGTTGAGTAAATTTCCAAAACTCCGCCTCCAAACGGTCCTTGTGAACTCTTATGGGAAAAGAAAGTGGAGTCTCATACTCATCCATAAGAGGTGGCATCGGTGGCATCGGTGGTGCCTTCTTAGCCTCTTCATTTGTTCCTTTCAAAGGAGCTTACTCATTGACCTTTGGAGGGGCTTCTTATTCTTAAATAATTTTCTTTGTCACAACATCTTGAGTTATCTTCACGTTTCTTAGTGTAATAGCATGCATCCCTGCTCTTTGATTTTTGGGGTTAGCAATGGTCTTTGAATGTATAGCTCCTTGTTGTCTCCCAGTGAGGACCTCAGTAAAGTTGTCAATTTGAGTCTCCAAGTTTTGAAGACTTGCTTAATGAATTCTTAAGCCCACCTCAACCGAAGTAAAATTTTTTTTTGCAACTTTCATGAACTTGTCAATCTTCTCAAACTTTTGAGAACTTGAACTCACAAAGTTTGTGACTAGATCTTCGAGCTTGGTGACCCTATCGGGTTTGTTGTTGAAACCCTTGCCACCTTATGGTTGGTATTGTTGTTGTTGAAAGTTTGAAGATTGGAATTGTGGCATTTGTTGAGCAAATGGAGGTCTTGGTTGATAATTTCCGGTTGGTCCTTGGAAACGGGGTGGTTTCAGATTGGGTGGTGATAACCATGCAAATTTGGGATGATTTCACCTCCCAGGGTTGTATGTATTGCTATATGGGTTATTGTTTGGATTAGCCCCCTAGCTAGAGTGCTCTCTTCCCTCATGATTTGACATTCTTCTACTTCATGGTTGGGACTCAAACACCAATCACAAACCATAACCGAGCTCTTGACCTGCTTCCTATCATGCAAGATCACCTTTATTAACTCATCAACCATCGCTGCAATTGGAGGATTTGCTTCGGTGGAATGCACTCTCCTCTATCGAATCTTCATTCCACGCCTTTTATACCCAAATCATAGCCTTGTGTGGCCATTCTTCAAATAATGAGTTATTTGGGGTGGAGTTTTGCTGAGCATATTTCCTTGTTAGAAAAAAGAATCAATGAGTGTTCGATATTCCTGGAAGAGACCATTCTAGAAGGTCTCACTCCGGAATTGCTCACCAAAAGCGTGGTGTGGACATTGTAAAAAGAGATCAGAGTAGAGATCCCAAGCATCTCTCAAAGTCTCATCATCCTCTTAAGCAAAGTGGGTGATCTTCTTCCGATACTCCGCCAACTTGGAGGGCGGGAAATATCGATTCATAAACTGGGTTAACAAGTCGTCCCAAGATGTGATTGAGATCAGAGGCCTATTGTTCAACCAACTTTGCGCCTTGCCACTTAGGGAGTAGGGAAAGATTCTCAACCAAATAGCATTTTGAGGCACTCCGTTAATCTTCAAGCCATCCGTCAACTAGAAGAATATATTGATTTGCTCCCTTGCGGACTCGTCTTCAAGACCATGGTATTGGATATTGCTCTGGATTAGTCGTGATCTCAAAGTTGTTGACTACCACAGGTGGGTGTAGAATGCTCAATTGGATGTCTGCCACCCGTTGATTCATATAATACCCCATACTCCTTGCTTCGTCAACTCTTTGTACAGTTTCGTTCGCCATCACAAGGTCTTCAACTTCTACCTCTTATTCAAACTCAACTTCCTCCTCCACTTCAAATTCTTCCTCAACTTCAACTTTGGTTTCAACATGAGGTTGACCTCGAACCTCGAGCCTTTCTCTTGCTTCCCTGAACTCCCTCTCTTGAGATAGAATTTGGAGAGTGCGATTGATGTTTTCGTCTAGCGGTGTCAAAGGTGTCGGGTTGCTTTGATTCATACACCTAATGCACACACTTCACACAACACAAACGAAAGCCAAAACAAGAAAGATCAAAATTCAAGATGAAAGAAATTAAATGCTAGATTAAGTCACATCCCCCCTAATTTATAATAGACTGTGCTCCCCGGCAGTGGTGCCAAAAACTTGACCCGCATTAACTACAACTTCTCAATCGAAGGACAAGTATAACCCACGACCGGGTGGAGCATAGGGTAAGCATGTAACAAAATTATCGAACCACAGGTCTCTAGATGTACCTTACGTCGTCTTAGGTATCATTGTCTATCTAACCAAGAGTAGCGATTAAGACTAAAATCACCACACTAACCAAACCACTACCCTACTTAATTACAAGTTTGGAGCTCACTTAGGCATGAATCTCACTAATCCCTTCATATGGTCAATGTTAATTACTTCCCTAGATTGATTGACTCGATATCTCTACCATTAAGAGATCAACTCGCTCGAAGATTAACCCGGAATGCCAGTGATGAATTGGCTTGCTCTATTCAATCTAAGGGCTTAATCATATATCGTCGGGTAATCGACCAAATCTACTCTTTTGAAGATGGAAATGAATTCCAGGTTTAGTTGGCCAAAGCGATGATGGAGATGAATTCCAGGTTTAGATAAAAGATTATAGAGGTTGATCTATGGTCAATGTTTTGCGCCAGTCAGGGTACGGAAAAGTTGGCTGAAGTGTTGATGGAGATGAATTTCCAGTTTTAGATCGAAGATTCTGGAGATTGATATATGGTCATGTTTTGCACCAGTCACCAAAACTTAAGAGGAAAACAGGAAAAATCAAGAAGAAAGGAAGAGGAAGGTCTAAAATCTTGAAATTAGTTGCAAAAACAAAAACTCACCTATGTGAAACCGTCTTCTTCCACCATATTTGTACATGATCGATATTGAAGTGGATAGACTGTGAGATGGAGATATTAATATTTTATTCAGAAAAATATTGAGAGAGATGTTAGGGATCTGTTAACGGTGGAAAAATGGATGGATGAGTTGCACTTGACTTCTATGAAGGTTACGATTGTTACTACGGTCCAGACCACTTCAAACACTGTTCGAACGAGGGTGTTTGGTGTGAGGGGAATTTACGTTACCTTACACTACTCCTGTAGAGATTCTCTAAGAGCTCCACGACTACAACTTAGACTGTTGTTGACACTAGTTGTCTTTCTCAACCTTCGGAGCATGCAGGGAGCTGATCAGGTCTAACTCCAAGGCTGTAAGAGGAACAAGGAAATCGTTCTAGTGGTTACGTAGGAAATATCTGAGGAGAATTTTCTACCGTGGATTAGTCGATATTGAGATCCTGATTCTCCCAATTTTGGATACAACGCAAAATTGCCTTTGTGTTGAGTTTATTTAAGATTCTGCATTTCTGTATGTTGGTTCTCTGGTTCGTGTGTTCAGGGTCAAGGAAAATCAGGATACAGGGAATTGAAGATTGCAACACGAGGAAGAAGAGAACCATCTGCAGAATGCGTAGGCTTGACCAGGTTTAAGCCCAAGCTTTTTAGTAACAGGCGTCTGGGCTTAAAGCGCACTGTGAGTTCGGATTAAACAAAGTTTTGTTTTAGTTTTATTTCCTTCAAACATAACTAATTTACATTTTATTTTCCACAAAATAATTATTTTTGGTCTCTTGCTCTTCACCTGCTTGGTCGATTGCTCGATTAGGGTTTTTGTAGAAATAGTGAATTATCAATGCAAAGGAAGTTAGGTCTCGCGCTCGACCCTATTACACCATCCACTAAGAGGTTTGATGGTGTCTACTAATATGGGATAGTCACCATCCACTAGGGGTGGGCATCGGGGCGGTTCGAACCGCATTGATATAGATCGCACAGAACCACATCTTAATCGGATCGCACCGCTTGATCGACCGCTAAGTTATCTATGCGGTTTGGTACGGTTTAGACCACGCTGCATTTTGACCACAATTCATTATGATTTGTACAATGTATCCAAAGCAGAGCATTCCAAAATCGAGAATCGAATCAAGAATCGCTACTGCTGGAGCTGGTGACACTGTTCGAGTAGCCATCAAAACAAAGCATTCCAAAAATCGAGAATTGCTACTGCTGGAGCTGGTGACTCTGTTTCCCTTCCACTAAAACAGAGCTTGCCAAGTTTCTCGTTATAGCATCAGATAAGGGTGTTTTTTTTTCTTACAAAGAAGCTTTTCAGTTAATAAAGGAGATGTGCGGTATCGAGAACGTAATAATGTGAGCTGAATTTTTTAGAATTAATAACCACAAAAACATGTCTATTTAGCATGGGGTATTTTCCATGGACGACTTGTCGATTGTGGAATTTTCTCTTGAGGAGAGTGTGAGGGATTGATCGGAGATCAACACTGGAGAAATGAGGCCGATGCAGATGGATTACTTCGTGAAGATGGAAGAGCAAGGCTCGACGATGGCGATGGACGTCGATGACGTTGACCCGCTCGAAATGTTCAGCGAAGCTCCCTCCCATCGTCTCGAAGTGAGGCCATCTCTAGCAAGCTAGAAAGCAGAAGTGCGACCGTCCCATCTCTTTCTTTCCTCTAGCGGTTTGCGGTTCCGAACCAAAAAACCGTTAACCGCTTTATGAACAGACCGCATTCAGAACGCAATGCGGTTTGTATTAACCGCAAATGCGGTTTGGTCAAATCAATGCCCACCCCTACCATCCACTAAGAGGTTGGATGGTGTCCATTATATGGGATGGTACCATCCACTTAGAGATTGGATGATATCCATAATGTGGGATGTAACAATCCAACCGAGAGGTAGAGTGCATCATATGGAAATCGAGAGAAGGTGTCGCAATCGGGATGCTCAATTAGTACGATATTGTCCGCTTTGCATCAAGCCCGCACGGTTTTACTTTTGGGTGTCCTCCTCAAAAGACCTCGTACTAATTGGGCTAGGTGGACACTAATATACAAGAGTTCCCTCCCTTGTATTTTCGATGTGGTACTTGGATTGTCCCACAACAGAATGTATGGATCAACATGTCAAAGGCTTCCTCCAGCAGCAGCCACGTATTGTTGTGAAGACTGGAGATTGAAGAATCGAGAGGCTTCTCTTGCATACTTCATAATTAGGATAAATTGTAATCGAAGTAGATGTTCAGCCAAACGTTAATTGTATACTTAGATGCCTGGAAGCAGCGTGCTTCTGCAAACATATTGAACACACAGAACAGAACAGAACATTCACATACTGCACAGACGTGGTATGGCTTCCGACCACAGAACAAAAACGATATACACAGGAAAATTGTGCACCGGAAGCCATACACATGTATACACGCGGATACATTCTTGACACCCCAAAACAGTATACTATGAACAAAAAGTAGAGTAACCAAAACCTATGTGTACGCTACGATCAATCGAGATCGGTCGAGCAGCTTTTATATATGTTCAATCTATACTTCACATGCAGTCGCGCGCCATGCATCCCTAGCTTCTCAGCAGACGACCCCGGAAAAATCATAGTCGTAAATGCTGAGATCGGCTTCCTGCTCCTCCTCCTCGCGATAATACTGCTGATAATGAATTTGATGACGAGATTCCGATGAATAATTGGTCTCAAACACCAGAGGGAATTCTTGATCCATATCCTCCAACAAAGCCTCCAGGTCAGCCTGACACGCCAGCATATCATTCGATCTGGTCTCCTCCAAACTATACAACCCCATCTGGTCGTCGTAGTAACCATAGGGCTGGAAACTGTTCATCTCTTCCTGGTAATTAAACGACGCCGTCCCGCTCGAATCAACCGACGCCGCATCTACACTCTCGCTCTCGGATTCGAATATCTCCGATGACGGAGAGGACTCCCACTTCGGGGCCACCGGATCAACCGCGGCGGGAGCTCCGTTGCCGGTGAGCTCCTGGACAAGGGTCTTGAAGTTGGAGATATCGGTGATGTACACTTTCGGCCGCAGGATCGGACGATGATCGCCGTCACAGTTTAGTTGCTGCTGTTGTTGTTGAAGGTGGAGAGCGGCCTTGGCGCGGAGGTTGTCTTCCTTCTTCTTGGTCTTCTTTTTGGAGATGAGATTGGACTTGTTCTTCTTGGGCTTGGATGGAGATATCGACGACGAGCTGGATTGTGGTTGACTTGGTCTCTTATTCCCCATAGCCATTATTATCTCTATCTATCTAGTGTGTGTTTGTTGGTTGGTTGAACTTCCAAAGCTGTTACAGCTGTAGGGTTTTGGCTTGTCCCTCGTCCGTCCCCCGCCCGGCCCCCTTTGTATTACTTTCTCCGCTTTCGGCTGGTCGGAAATGTTTTTTTTTTCTTTTTTAAATGGAATGTGAAGACGATGTGTTTGAGGGAGGGAATGAAAGGAGGCGTAAATCGATGGGATTAATTATATACTAAGGGATCGTTTGGAAGTTACGTATGTTAAATCGTTGTATTGTTATGAATCACTGTGATATAAATGTATGCATTGATACAATAGATGCATTTTGAAATTACATTGTTTGGTTGTTGAGATTATAATTTATGAATGGATTGTTATAAAGTTACTTTATAAGAAAATGTCATATTTGTCCTCCACTTTTAATATAAAACAAAAAGAACTATGTACATAATTGGAAAAAGTAAAGGTGCCCAATTATTAAACCAACAATCATAACAATCTCAACTTTTAGTTGAGATTGTACAATCCCTCATTTTTGTTGATTGTTGGTGGGACCCACACAAAACAATACATGCATTCTTTTGCAACTTGACACTTCCAAACGTTGTATTGTGGACAATACATGTATTTAACAAATACAACACTAACAATCGCAACTTCCAAACGACCCATAAAATACAGGGACGAAAAAAAAAAAAAAAATACCATATGATGACGAGATATTAGAAACGGAGCTGCGATTGATGGATGAGTCTGCAGGAGATGATGAATAGTGTGGAAAAGTGACAAATCACAATTCTTTAACAACCAACAAAATTGGAAGACAATGACGTTTACGGGTTTTCGTTCAGTTTTGATCCTTTTCGGTCACTTTTGATTTATATATGTCTTGTGACTCTTGTCCTGTCCGATACATTTTTTTTATTATGATTATTGTTTCTGTATACTCACCAAAATTGTAGATATTTTTATTATTACCCTATTTGTGGCAATGTTTTGAAAATATGTATTGAAATGAGTAATTAGATTTATTTCGAGAATAGGAATATTATTCGTAAAATAATAATTATGAGAATTGAATTCCAATAGCATATTGTACCAATTATGATTTATGACTTACTAGTTACCACTTGGTTGGGTTAGGTGACTTTTTAATGGTTTGAGTCCCAACCTACTTGCTTACCTGTTATTAACTTATGGATTTACCTTCTGGTGTGATCACAAACTTTTATATTACTAATTTAATTTTAGGGGACGATGTGGCGACAGTGACCCGTACATTAAATCAAGTGGGTGAGAAATTTGGGAGAAAATGCTTGCTTTTGTAGTTATTTGGGGAAAGAGGTGATCTGACGTGGACGTGTAGGAGGAATTATTATGAATGTGTGACTAGAAGAATAAATTAACCCAAATGGGATGATGAAGAGAAGGAGGAGGAGGATATTTTTAAATATAATGAATTGTTTGGAAATTGTGTTTCTTTTGTTTTTGTTCGTGGTAGGAGGAATTGAATGGTACGCAGCTTGCTCACGAAGTTAGCTCCTTTCGCCTTCCGTATGATTAGGGCCAAGCAAGAAGAATGCAAACTAATATAAAACAGAAGGAGATCATTTGTTTTCAATGGGAGGGGTAAAATTATCGTTTACGTGTATAATAAGTTAATAATGAGAGGGTTTTGAGGAGGTTGGAGGATGGGCTCGTTTGCTAGTTGGATTTGAAAATGAAGGTTTTGAGTTTTAAAAACCTTTGGATTTATGATGGATTTGTTGCATCATGGATTTGGAAGAGTACATTGTTTGTTTAGTTGATTTTTTATCATGGATTTGTCACACATTTTTTCCTTCTATTGTCAAATCCCAAATGAAATGTGGGATTTACAAATCCGTGGACCCCACGGATTTGTGTCCCTCAACAAACAAAGGATTTGTGTCAACTCCATGATGCTTGGGATTTGGGTTCCAAATCCATCATCCAAATCCCACAAGCAAACGACCCCTATGTATGTAGACTACTGGTACGGACAATATATGTTAGGAATAATTATGCAGGTTGGATGATATATATGGCAGGAATATTTGTACAGTATGTATGTGGCATCTGATGTGTGAAATTTGATGTGGGTGTGGTAACCCGTAATATATCTTCTGGATAAATCCTCTGAAATCCTCTTTGTAAAATTAAGCTTTTGTCGACTCTCTAGTGTTGATGCTTTCATCGATATTCATTGGGCAATCTTCGTTAATGAACTGAATGGTTAAAGGTCGTCCTAAAAATTACTAACTATCGTCCTAACTTAATATGTAATTTACCGAATTGCCCATTTTAAATTTCAAAATCAAACACAAAACAAACAACCCCTCCCCCTTCGATAAATCAAAATAAAAAATATAAACCAAAATCCAACGATTATCTTATGGACCGAACCATAAATCGTAGTAAAAGAATAGAAAATTATTGATATAAACCAAAAAAATCCAAAAAAATTCCGAAACCCCTCAACCGAAGCCAATTTTCGGTTGTACCATGGCTCAACCAAAGGCAATTTTCGGTTGTACCATGGACCAACCGAAAATCACCTTCGGTTGCACCATGGCTCAACCGAAAACTCTCTTCGATTGAGCCATGGTGCAACCGAATGTGATTTTCGGTTGGTCCATGGTTCAACCAAAAAGTGCCTTAGGTTGAGCCATGGTACAACCGAAAATTGGCTTCGGTTGAGGGGTTTGGGTTTTTTTGAAAAAAACCCGGATTTTTCACCTCGTCGGAGTCGCTACTCATGATTCGGACGTATTCCCAACGATTATGACTCGAGAATGTCAACGATGAATTCGAGAGTGTGGGAAATTGAGTGTTTTTAATTTTTTGTAGTTAAAGTGATGTTTGTTTGCTAAATATGTCAAAAGATTAAAAGTGTACCTTTGTTATTTTTTAGGACGATCAATAGTAATTTTAAGGAAGACGTTTATCAATTCCCTTAATGAATACCAATTGCATAAATCTGATCGGTGTGGCGTCTACAAACGCTCTCCAAGATGAATCAGTGGACTTTTGTCGGTGAACACGATTCGGAGCCAAGCTTTTATGAAGGTGAACCTGAGCTCAAAGTTTCACCCATTTTAAATGTTAGGATATGATTTGAATTTGATTTGGGTTTGTTTTCTGTTTAGGACCTATTTTGTTTGGGTTTGTGTTTGAGATTTGTGTTGGGTATATGACTCGGATCTCGCCGGGCCAAGGAAACACCCTAAACGACGCCGCAGCGAGAACTAGGCGCGCCAGCACTTACGTAAGCACACCAGTCACGAGCGCAACGAGACTTGCACGCGCGGACAAGGTCCGAGGCACCGAACGTTGACGTTCCAGTGGAG